CCACCAAAAAACACTATACTGAGAGCTATCATTTAAGTACGTCAGGAGCTGCCATTACTGTCAGTAACCCTATCAATTAAATCCAGCAGGATTATGCAGCAACATCTTTAAAAAGGATTCAACAGCCTATATAAAAAATGTTTGCTAGAGTGGTACGATGAGAGCTGAACCAGTGTTAGTTAAGGTGGAGAATATTTTCTAGGATGTTCCTAATATGAACAGGTTCTCAGACAATATTCCTTAAATCTTAAGTTTTGCACGTTATCGTAAAATTTAAATGGTGCTTGGAACACATGTTGTGTTCAGGCAGGATAGACAATTGAGTTACTACCTTAAATCTTGTAAGTATATCATATTCCATACTGAACGTTACCCTGAAATGAAGCACAACACTGTAGTTGCAGAAATTTCACAGTACCATGCAATTATAAAAAGAATAGCTCAAAATGCTTTGGAACTGCTATATTTCAGGAGAAACTAAATTTTTCAAAAAAAGGACTTAAGTCTCCTTCTTAGTAGTTCTGAAGATTGGCAAACCATCCAAGTTAGAATAATACAGCACTGCTGCCAAGACAATCAAAATACAGGTAAATTTCCAAAAAGATGCAGTTTGATGAACAGCACTTCTTCAGAAGGGCACTGAGAGCTTAACTTTAAAACACCCGGAAATACAAATTCAGTAAATCCCAAGAGCATAAAGTTTCAGAAGATGAAACCAAATGCTTACTGTCTTCAGCTTCTGGTCTGAATGTTAAAAAGGAAGGACTACATTCAGTTTTACTAAGTCAAATATTTCCGTTTTTCTGAGAATAATGAAAAATACGAAAACTAGGATGAAATGAGCCTTTTATTCCTAAGGTAACAACTTCAATTTCTACTTGATAACTAGCTTAAAGACATTCCAGTTGCTTGACAAGGAAATAAAAAAAGAGTAAGAAATGGCATATGGAATCTAAATTATCCCATGAAGTTTACAAAAACTAACAATCTGACCTATTCCAGTTCTGTCCTGGGGGAGAAAAGTCCGCATGAGGAATTTCATTCTGTACCAACTCAATTGCTTTTGAATGTTAAAGTCACTGCCATCCTTAGACATTCTTATGAAATTCTTTGCCCTAAGATGATTTCAATTATCTGAGAATCACCCGGCTGGGGGGAAAGGGGTGGGGGGGAAGCATGAATATTGTTTTTATGTATTAGCTTATCATGAAATGAATTCTGAATTCTTTACCCCAGCAAGGATATCTAAATCCTTTTACAATCTCTTGCTTTAAAGCGTAATTTGTATAAATCTGACTTAACAGCATATGTAACTGTTACATTTTAAGTCACAATGAAATACCTTTCAGTAACGCAGCTGGTTACTATTTATAGTGGTATTACAATGCCACACAACAACAATAAATTAATTCTATTATGTCACTAACAACATGAATGATGGCTCTAGTAGCTCAAATCAAGTTTGCCCAATTCAGAATAGAATTTATAGACTAATGAGCATTTGCAAAACTTCTGAAACTGTTTCAGAGCTTTTCATGCATCTCACAACAGCTCATGTAGTAAAAGAGAAATATTACAGGCAATAACAGCAACTTCCTGAATGATTCACCGCATTTTTTCACATAAAATCCCCCTCTGCTATTACTGGTCATGTGAATTTGTTTTTAGACACCTCCAAATTTTTCCTATCTGAGCTTGCCTGCCACCAATTGAAGGAAAAAAAAAAAAGAAGCGCCTTGCAGAAAGATTGTTTATAGTATTGTCTTCCAGATGCCTTCTCTAAGAAAGCTGCTACCACAGCAATTGAGCTTCCTTAAAGCGAAGCAGATTTCCTTGTTGAGAAAAAAGCTTAATAGGTCCATTTTTTTCAGTCATTACAAGTGACCTATTAAGACAACCAACAGAATCTATGGCATTTTTGGAGCATATAGCTGTAAAGGGCATTTGTACTAAAGAGATGGTGAATCCTACATTTGAATACATCTGTGAATTCCACTGACACCCTTGATTAAAATGGATCACATCTATGTTCCTTTCCATGAGAAATGCCATAATCAACATTCTGCTGGTATTTCACTTGAAATTTAGTGGGGATTTTTTCTCATCAGTCATAGACTGGGAGCAACCACCACATCCAGGTGCTGTCTCAATTGCAGGGGTCCATTAACAGTCCACTCAGCAGAGGATTCCATTCTTCATCTCTTCCATATTTAACAGCTTTATTTAGCTTGCATTCATTTCTATTTATTTATGGCAACTATTGTTATCATGTTTTTCCTTCAGATAGAGAAGAAAGCTTTTGAAATAGACAACTCTCAAATTGGCACAGGAATAAATGGGAAATTAGGGAAGAGTTCTTAGATTCTGGAGTCATACTTTCTGCAGAAAAAAGAATTCCTACAAAACTTTGCCTTAAATCCCAGGTATTAAATTAAAAAGTGGTAATGCCCATACAGATCACAATTTAGTTCCTTTATTAGAATAAGGGATATAATTTCTAAGAAAGCTAGAGTTCTTCCATACTTATATTTGACACAAAACATACTTTGTAAATCTTCTACAAAACTGTAACTTGTTTGGATCAGTTTACATTAAAAAGTTTTTTCTAATTAGCTCAAGCAGTGATCTGGACGTCAGAGTTGTCTCAGATTTGATTATTATCACTAAATTCTTCAAATGTAAGTTAAAATAAATTATTTTGAAGATACATGCATATGAAGCAGATCCAATGATTATGAAGAATTTTTCTACACATAAAAGTACTTTTTACTGTAATATCAGTTTTCTTTGGAGGTGGCCCTGCCCTGGAAACACATGACAATGTCTTAAATAAACTACATGCAGGAAACTAGGAGTTCCCAGAAAAGTGAACTATTTCCTCTAAGCACACAGGTTTGCAGATTCCTTGGAGACACTATGCTTACAAACCTGTCTATGACTGTTGCTTCTTTGGAGGGGTGTGGAGGAGGCAAATCACACTCCTTAGTTCAGTTCAGTATCTCTAGATACATGCTCTGGGTTTATTGCTGTGGGCAATGTTGTAATATTTTGCTCTGCATAACAGTTAACTTTTTACTGCAGTCATGGAAACTAGATTATAAACATGAAAAAATAAGCCAATAATGATTCTTTACATTACACCTGACACACACCATGGTTCTCCCTATCAGTCAGGCAATGACTGAGAATGCTTAAGTGTCTTTAGGTTTTGGATTGAGAAACCAGCTCAAGCAGTGAACCCCACCTTCTCAGTGCTGCCTCTAAAGCAGAGTTCTAAAGCACATAGGGGGTTGGGTAGAGAAGCATCCACCTACATTACCTCTATTTCCCTTTGTTAAAGGCAGAATCCTCCTTCCTTATCTTTTCCCTTTAAAAAGTCAATTTCCTAGTTCTTTTACCCAACAGGAATATATTTCCAGGATTGGAACTATACACAGTTCTAATTCTTTGGAACCTTTTTTCATACCAAATGGCTTTAACAATTCACATTCCCATTCCCCCTTTTCTGTGGATATAAGCTTTACAATCTAATTTAATGCCTAGCATGTGTTAGCACCAGTTTAAAGTAGATGAAAAATTCAGGGACCATCTGGGTAAGGAAAGATCAAGCAGTTGAAATACAATTGCCATTACAATTTATTATACAACTCAATTAGTTTTCACTGTATATACAGCTCTTCAAACCCACACTTTCAGCTCTATATAAAAACCACATCAGACACTAATAACCGAGTACTTGCACTTAGAACTCTTTATCGACCCATCTCCTAC